TGCTTAACAGACTCCATTGTGAATTTTGAAGGTGGTGTTTTAAAGAAGAGAGTTGTGCTGAAGGTTTTCTGATGAGAATTTGAATAATTGGCGAGTTTGTTGATGAGGAGAGGAACAAGAAGATAGTCAGGGACGAAGGGTCCAAGGGTTTATATAGACGGAGGCATTCTCAGGTTGTTGCTGCTTCAACAGCTTTCATCGGAGAATACTAAAGGCTGTGGGTCAAGAACACCCACTTGTCGAGCACCACAACGCGGCCACTGATGACATTGACGCCAACAAGTTGTCGTCGGCATGCTGAAGTTGGATTTCACCAGCGTCATTGCACCTGGACCCCGCAGCCACACGGTGGGGCGCCACACCCGATGCGCTATGGCGGTGCAAGGAACCTTATGACGACATTGGCTGATGACAACCTGTCCCAGCCAACCAAAGTAGCCGCTCTCAAACGTACATGCAGGTCATAGTGGAGACTACATCTTCTTTTGCCTAGCTCGGGATAATGCTCAGTTTCTGGTAGCATCTACAACTCCTAGTTTCGGACAAAGAAAGCATTTTGCTGTCATTTCATTCGCCAGCTTGGTCCTGATTACGCCGCATATGACGACATAGATCTTTCATCGGATGCATCAAATGATCCGATTCTGAACGGCTCACGAACCCAACGATTTGCAAGGATGAATTGCCAAGTAGTTTCCCTTCTTTGGTCGATTTGATGATGGGGATTTTTCAGGTTTTGCGTCAGGAATTGAGATACTTCTTGAGAAATTCCATGGCGTGCAGGCAAGAAGACCATGATCTGCCGATGTAGAGTCGCAGCCGGGTCTTCACTCGCAATGCGGCCCAATGCTTGCTTTGCAAACTGCGTTAAGTGAATGTCGGCTGCGGCCTCAATGTGGCAATGAGCATATTTTGGCCTGTGGGTTCTACCATTTCTCCTCATTATCCCAAGCCGCGAGGCTGATCGTAGAACGGTCTCGGCCCGGTTGAACTGTCTCTGATTCCTTTCGGTACGTACTTACATGATGTTCTTGGTACAGTATCTTCTCCAAGCTGTCTGGTCCGCTTCATCCCCGCTGCTAGTTCGTTTCGTTAGTTCGACCCTCGGCCAACAGGGCGGGACCGACATTATAGATGGCTGTGGTTGGATGTTAGACCCTTGTTTCCCAGTTTCGGCTATGGCTTTTGTTCGATTTCCTACTTATAGTTTGATCTTTGCCATCGAGATTTGGTATGATGGATCATAATCGTCGTCCGTGCCTGGCCGGGGAGGTGCGCTGCCCGCGGGACCCAAAACGCCACGCACGCTAATTCCCAATTCATGAATGTTACTTTTCGCATTACCGTCTCCTAATGGACCGTTCGAAACAATATCTATCTTGATGCCGCGTCATCTCAGGCTCCAGGCGGCCAACCGTTGTGACGTTGGCTTACGGAGAGTAGCATGGTCCATTGTAGTACTCTTATCGGCGTCGAACAAGTTGAACAAATACCCTCGCATTGGTCCTGGAACGCGCTTTCGAGGGTATAAAGTGCCATGCATGTCGAGTCCGATGTTTAACCTTTAGCCCTGTTGATTCAAGGATTTTTCAAGGGTACCTGGCCCTTGGGAATCGGTAGCAGCCATGGGTTACCATGTTGCAAATGCAGTTGCTTGTCAGATGCAACAGCTCGCGCCGTTGATTTTCGCGGGATGGTTAGTCGAGGAAAGACGACTCACTGCGGTCATTCGAAATCTTGATCGTACCGCATAGCAAAAAATTTGAATGCAACCCACAGACGCGCATTAAACGGCGAGATTACGCCTATTCTATTTCCTCCTTGCAGTACGGAGTACTACTAGTACTAATGTCGATGAATTCAATGACTCGGTAACGAAAATTCAAGAGTTCTTGATATCACGTGATATATACTGAAACAGAAGCCCCACATCCGAAGGCCCCGCCTAAGTAGGAGCCATGTGAAGCTCCATCATCATTGGGAGCCGCTTGCCATAAACACCTGTCCCTTCAAAGCAACACCCGTCACCAGATATTCGTGATAAGCCATATGCACAAGAGCTGTGAGCTTGTATAATAATCTGTGAGACTCGCCACTCCGGGGGACGCGATGGATCTCGCCTACGACCACATTCAGGAGAACGCATACCCACAAGACATGAAGGAGTCGAATGAAACGCCTAAGCCAGAGCAGCAAGAGTCGTCATTAAATAATGATTTTCAAGATGCGTATAAGGCTATCTCGTCAAGCCCCTGGGGTATAAAGATTGGTGGGTTCTTTGGAAATGTTATGAAACAGGTAATCCTCTTTCAACAGTGACTACTCAGCGTGCCAGTATGTTGATCATTTGTGCAGGGCGAGACTGTCTACGCGCAGGCCCAGAAAGAGCTCGCCGAAGTGGGAGAAGACGCCACCAAAGGCTTGAGCGATCTTCGTGAATCAATATTGAATCGAACCCGGTCGCTATCCGTGAATACTGCCACTGCCGTGTCAACAGACGGTGGCAAGGAAGGAGACGATACACAATCAACCCCCACAAAAACGAGAGCTACCGCTTCCGACGACGTCAGTGAACAATCTGAGACTGTTTTGTCACGAATACGCTCTGAAGCGGCTAAGCGTCTGAAAGACCTACAACAAGCTGAAGATGCCGCTGATGAGGCATTGCTACGATTCGGCGGCAACGTTCGTGATTTTCTGAGGGATGCGATTAGTGTTGCTCCACCTGACGAGTCATCTCAAGACAGCACGGTTCTTTTTGAAAGCAAGGATGCGCAAGGTAAACGGGTTATTCACACCTCTCGATTTGATGCTCAGATGCATGTTATCCATACATCTGTTGATGGCTTTGCCAAGGACCCTACCAGTGACGAGTACGAGAAGTGGACAACGGAATTCGATGTTGAGAAGAAGACCGATGACATCAGCAGCGATCTTGCCAAGTACCCTGAACTGAGGACCACAATGGAGAAGCTTGTGCCTGATCAGGTTTCCTACGCCGACTTCTGGAAGCGATACTATTTCTTGAGACACGGCATTGAGACTGCAGAGTCGAGACGACGTGACCTGCTTCAAGGTACTTGTTCCCGTTTCTTTTTTATCTATCTTGGACATTCTATATACTGACCTCTGTTTTCTTATAGCCGCCTCCGCTGAGGATGAGGTTGGGTGGGATGACGATTCTGACGAGGAAGTTGGTGAAGCAGAGAAAACGTCGTCTGGTCAGAAGCCCAGTTCCGGGGCGTCATCCACGACCATTCAACGCCCAGATAGTCTTGCAAAGCCCCCCGAGCCCCAGAAGTCCAATGATGAGAAGTCACAAGCCGACAGCGAAGCCAGCTATGATGTTGTCGGAGCAACCTCTGGGAAGACAAGCCAAGCTCCAAACAGCCCCAAAGACTCTAGACAGGGAGATGATAGTGACGATGACTGGGAATAATGTTTTGCCGTTGGACGGTCGCAGCGTTTGATTTTTCGGTCTCTTGAACCTGGCGTTTTTGATTCTTTTGTGATTCCCAATTATGCAAAATTGACTTTGTTGCACAAATCTGTATATATGCGTTGGGTATCAATAGATGGAGATGTAGTCAGATCATGGAGTCTCCTGCACGAATATCTGCCCTTTGCGCGACCTCTTATTTCTTCTTGTGCGTAACCTTTGTGAAACCGTCCTCGTCAATTTCAGGAGCTGGCTTCTCCTTGGGTGCCGAAGGTGGCGCAGGCGCGTCATCCATGTCGACATCACTTGCGTCGTCGTCGTCGTCGTCGTCTGATTCCCAGTCGGTATCTTGATGGGCATCTTCAGCCTTCGTGAACATTTGGTCCACCTTCTTGCCCTTGAGGTTTTGAAACCGCTGGCTCAACTTGTTCACTTCATCGAACTGGCCAATAGCGCATTCGGCTCTCGCTCGGACGATATTGCCGGCGACCTCCGTGCCCGAATCATCATCAACGTTAACCTCGAACTCATCTATCATGACCTGCAACAACACAGTCTCAACGTCCTCCATGTCGGGTTCCTCGATGGGCTTGGTCTGGGGCGCATCGCTGAATTCGGGGAACAGGTCGACAATAGCGCCGGCAAACCAGTCACGCTTATCTGCTGAATCGGGGCCACCCCAGTTGTTTTGAACAGCGAGCGTAAGGGCCGGCCAAAGGTGGAGGGAGTAGGCAACGGCTTGTTCGAAGTTTGACTGTCGCACGGCTACATGTACTCGACTTAGAATGGAGGTGAACACTTACTTAATGGAGAAAATTTTGGACTAACCTGCGGGGAGAAGCTGCCCGGCATCCGTGGATGAAGCCATGGCTGCCTCCGAATTTTATTTATTTAGGTTGTTTTATTTCTCTTTTGAGTTGGCGGGGTGTTGGAGGGGCAGACACGCACCGTGATGACCACCAGCATAAAAATTTCGGTGGTTTGTGCCATGGGCGGTAGCTTGGGCCACAATGCGGTACACGGGCCAATGGGGGACTCCCATGGCCGTAAAGTGACTGGTTGGCCGGGCTGATTGAATTTGATGGCGGGACAAGTGCGATGTACAGTGGGTGCATGTGGTGTACATGCACGGAGCATGTACAGAGTACAGAGTACAGAGTACATACTATCCCGTGCGCGCATGACATCATGCGCCCGTTCTTCCGGCTTTGCCTCTCCAAGGAGGCCTGACCTTTTGTACACATACACAACGGCTTCAATGTTGGCTTTCGGGTTCCAATTTTTGTAACCATCATGTTTGCCATCACCAATGGCCTGCAGTTACGATGAAGAGACTGAACACAACCTCAGTCACGTTGGCCGTCACTCCGACAATGGTTTCCACGCTGTTCTCTCATGTACGCAATTGGCATCACGCCGTGTGACGTTCTTTCATCCAACCAGACGTTTGAATCGCAACGGAGACTAATGTTCCAGGTTCGACACTCTGTAGTATCTTAACCGGAAGCCACTGAAACAAAGACCGACGGCGCATTTATCATACGATGAGGGCCTTCATCTGATGCGATCGTTCTTGGAGTTTGCTTCACACCACACCGTAGAAGAGCTGCAAGCCTTCACCTCCCAATGGGTTCCTCATCCCCAATGGATAAGGGTAGACGCCGTTGAAATATCAGATGAATTTCTGTCCCGATCAGCGGAATTAATTCAAGCCCAACTGGGACCAGACGGCATCGCCCAGGTCGGTGGTAAACAATGGTGGCAATGGAGAAAGCCAAAGTCGACCTTTGAGGCGGAATGGATTGAGATGCGCTCTCATTACAATGCAAGAAAGGCAACTGATGACCCTGGGAGGCGAGTTATGTTATTTGTGCATGGGGGCGCTTTCTACTTTGGAAGCGTCGATGAGCACCGATACCAGTTGCAGCGCCATGCACGTAAATTGAAAGCCAGAGTCTTTGCTCCGAGATATCGCCTTGCACCACAGTTTCCGTTTCCATGTGGACTGCAGGACTGTTTAGCAGCATACTTGTATTTGATATCAGTCCAAGACTCGAGCACGATACTGTTGGCGGGCGATTCTGCCGGTGGAGGGATGGTACTGTCCATGCTTTGCGTCTTGCGAGACCGGGGTGTTCCTCTTCCTGCTGGCGGTATTCTCATCAGTCCATGGGCTGATCTCATGCACTCATTCCCGAGTTCTGCTGCCGATGCTCCTTTTGATTACATCCCGCAGTCTGGTTTCCATCACAAACCTTCTCGAGCTTGGCCTCCTCCAAATGATGACGACATTGCCATACTACGAGGGGAAGCAGTCAAGCGAGCGAACAAAACGGTAGCCAGCAACAGTACAAGAGTACCTTCTGCTAGGGCGAGTAGTTCAAAACCTACCAATAGCGAATCCACAAATACAGACAGCACGAGGGATTCTGCGGCGAGTGCGACCCGGCCGACCAAGTATTTGACTGTCAGTATGGATGGTAAATCAGTAACTATCAAAGACCAAATTCAGGTGAGCCAATATGGGAAGTGAGCAACAGAAACACCGTGCTAACGAAACACAAGATATACACGACAAATGCCCTCTTGGACCATCCTCTTGTCAGCCCTATCATGCAAACGACTCTAGGTGGACTGCCCCCGTTGTTAATCATGGTTGGAGGTGGCGAGATTCTCCGCGACGAACAAGTCTATCTGGCCCACAAATGTGCTAATCCCAGGAAATATACACGACCAGTTGAAACCCTTTCAGAAGAGGAAATTGAGCTACTGGAAAAGTACAAGCCCACAGATGTTCAACTGCAGGTATGGGACGACTTGTGCCACGCTGCTCCCATACTCAGTTTCACGAGGCCCGCCAAGTTCATGTATAGGTCTATTGCTCAATTTGGTGCTTGGGCTTTGGCTAGGGCTCAGAAAAGAGGCATCGACATTCTGGACGATGATGATATCTCAGTCATTTCCAAGTCAGGTTCCGATACAGATGTTGCACAGAATGTTCAGCACAGGGAAGGGGAAGAGCGACAAGCTGAACGGCAAGAGCCTGGACAAGTTGGCAAAGCTGGCGACCCCTTGCCGCACTTTACAAACCACATGGTTCGACAACGAATCACGCGCCACGGTGCAATTCTTCCATTGGCTGCGGAGTCAGAACTTCCTGGCTGTCGTATGAATTCTTCTAACATCGGTGTAGCCATGGAGGGCGCCGTGAGACGGTGGCAAGAGACCAGAGGACAATGGGACAGCCGTTATACATCTTCGAAAATGAAAGTGCACAAGAAGATTATCAAGGACATGGTGACAGGATTCCAAGACTTTGGAGCGGGGGAGAACCCCCCACCCACAGCCCTCGCCGGCAGACGGTTAATCGAATCAGACATTGTCGAGAAGAAAAGAACCAGGAGCATGGGCCTAGCGCTTTGGTCATTTTGGGGATCCAAGCATGACAAGCTCACCGTTGAGCGCGAAAAGGAAGCCGATAGGACACCCGAATCACAGGACGTGGACGTTGATGAGGGGCGAGGGGCAAGGTCTTATCAAGACATTGAATCCCAACAACTCGAATCTTCAAAACCGGATATTGCAAGCAGAAGTAGGTCTCGTCGCAGAACTGTCATTGATGAGCATCAAACAGAGGAGTCTGGCGTGGACGAGAATACACCCGTGGCACAGTTAATTGAGCAACGCAAGGAGCAAGAAGCTACTCATCCCGGACGACTGAGTCCCGACTACGCCCCTGAAACTGGAGTGGCAGGAAAGCGTCCGTATATAGACGGTATTGCACTGCCGTTTAGCCTTAAGAAGGATGCTGAAACAGCAAGCATGGTAACATTGACCTCAGCAATGACCCCTGCAGGAGAGGGCTATCCTCCTATGAGTCCACAGGAATCTTTCGTGGATTTATCTGGTCCTCCAGAGTCGGAGGATCAGGCGAGAGCCGAGCAGATGCTAGCAGCCAGAACCACTCGGCCAGCCATTGAGAACTCTGAAAGGGATCAAGTTCCTCAGGTCAGGGAGCCAGAGCAGAGTAAGGAAGCAGATGCTTCCAAGTAACAGATACGGAGGATGCAGTAGGAGGATACGCGACTGGGGCAGGCTTCAAAGCATTATATTTAGCGACAGATATCCCATGAAACCAAAGCGTAGGCGTTTGTAATTTAATGTTCGCTTTGTATTTGAATTTTAGAAAAATCGGCGAATAAAAATACAAACAGAGGAAGCCTATCCTGTCCATTTTGTTCAGAGATGTCGATAGTTACACGGCCGTCATGCATAGTGTTACAAAGTTGGGGTATATGTACAAAGACGAGAAAGCCTATGCTTCTCGCCAGCTTCTAATCGCCTGTTTCACGATTCATTCGTGGTGCCCTTGGTTCGTTATGAGCACATCACCTTCGCGCCTCGAGTACGCGGCTCCGAAGCAGCCTTAGTCCACGCCATTGTAGCGTTTCCACTGCTCAACATAGAAATACGGATCTTGGGGTCCCTTTTCCAGACCCTTGTAGTCACCAGGTACTTCTCGAACTTGGCGACTGACGAACGGCGTAAGCTGTATTTTTTGTTCAAGTTAGCTTCTTCTTGTTCGAAAATATGCGGCGTTGGCGCCAGTTGAAATTACCTTGAAGTCTTTCAGGTTTGGGGGAACAGCATATGTCCGGACTTTGTTCCACTCGATTACGTATCCTCCGTGTTTGGTGTGGCGACCCATTGAGCCAGTTCTGTTTCCCTTGTAGAAGCCCTTGCCGACGTCTTTGGTGGTAAGTTTGAGATGGCGATAGCGGCCGACGGAAAGGGCTTGGGTCGGTCTCATTGTCAGCCGGGGTTGTGAGTTGAGGGGAGAAAGGCTGAGTCCGGAGAAGGTCGGGTACTGAAATTTCGAGAACAGACGTGGGCTGGGGATTTGTTGGCTTTCTGATGACGTTGATGAGATGGTCATCGCTGTCGTTGAAATTTCACAGGCGCGGTGGCTCGGCGGTGGGCGTTGTTCCGATCCGGTTAGCTTGTGAGCTTACCTTGACAGCTTCCGTGGAACACAGTGTACGGACCAGGTAGGTACGTATTTGCGTTTGTACTTGACACGGATATTTGCTTGTTTACACAATCATGAAGCTTGCGCGTGTTTGAAATAAATGATACCCTTGTGGTAATTAGTTATATTTGTTGCTATTTTTAGAGTGTTGAGAAAAATCATTTTCCCAGGTCTGTCCTTCGTCCCAGTGAAGAGTATAGTGAGTAACATCACCCAAACAACAACTCCCGAATGTTGTCCCCACGCGAGGGGCACATGTGCATGATTAACCCGCCATCAGCTTTAACCTCCAGAAGCTCTCTCCCGTGCCAGCTTGCAAGCGGACCAACGAGCGACGTCCGCCGGCATTGGGAATCTGCACAATGGATGGGTACCCCCCAGGCAGTTTGGATCATAATGTTCCATTCCTGGTCGCTTCGGGCCTGAACTCGGCTGAGCCAGAGCTCGACCTGCAAGGGGAGTTGAGCACCCAAGGGCAGTTGATCAAGTCGGACCTGCCACCACTCGAAGGTCGAGAAGCGCAATTGTTGGAGACGTATTTTGAGGAAATTGATGCCAGGGGTACGTCTTGGGCAGTGGTTCCACGGGACGAACCCTATCGCTTTCGGATCAAGACAGTGGGAAGGGTATGTGAGCGGTCTCAACGCTTCGAAGTGTTTGGGTGCTGACGCGCAACGCAGTCATACCTTCTGCCGCCTCGGAAAACGATAATACCTGATTCTGTCGGGCCTCCAGATCCTAGTGCGACTATTCATTCTCCGTTTTCCCCGCTATCTCATGTGTCCGCTCTATATCCCGACGGCCTGATCGATTCGCGATGGATTAAGAAACACCAGCATCTCGTCCCTAGCATATACGCCTGTTTCTACTCGCTAGCCAATGACAACCGCCTCAAGTTGGACGTTAATGAGATCAAAGCTACGCTAGCTCGATCCGGCTTCAAGACCAGAGTTGCGATAATTCTGTTTGGCAATCAAGATAGTGGCACAGCAGTTCTTACAGAGGAGGTTCAGGACCGATTAGAGAGTATTCGAAAAGGAACCGCGCTAGACCCCAAGTCCATATTCTATATACCTACACAAGAGTCCCCCGCCGAGCTGAAACGAAAGATTGATAGTATTCTTGCTATTCTGTATTCAAATGCCGTTGAATATTACAGGGATCTCGGTCGGCATGCAAGGAAGAAGAGATCGCGTGGCATTGCTCCGCAGCCGACGATACCACCAACATCTGGGACATCGCATACTCTTTCTTTGCCTGATTGGAACTTTCGATATGACATGAAGACCGCCATTTTGGCAGAATTTCGCCAGGAGTTGGACGCGGCGATCCGATCCTTTGAGCAGGCCTACGAGATCCTACTAGGGCAGGATGTGTTTGACATAATTCCGAGTTGGAGCTCCCGGTGGAATGAGGCTCGACAATTGGCCGATATCATCTCGATCCGGTGCCTACGACTACATTTGTGGATGGGACATACAAGTCTAGCCGTCAGGAGATGGCAAACGCACAGAGATCGAATTGGTGACCTTGTGGATCGTAGAGGGCAAGGCACAAATACATATGGCTGGCAGGCCTGGGAGGCCAGGTGGGCAATGGTCATGGCTAATTTGATGGAGAAAATTGAGGTATCTGGCTTGGCTCCTGCGTCGATGACCATATTTCTACCCCCTGAACGGGCAGTCTTGGGCGAGCGATTACAACCATGGGAGCTTCTACATCATACAGGCTACTGGTATCGCATGGCCGCACGGCATCTTACTGCTCGACGCACCCTCGCTCACATGATACCAGATGAAGATAGGGAACCACCCGAATCTGCGTCAGCGAAATCTGCGAAGAGCACTTATGACACTTATATGTGCCCTCCGCCTTATCAAGAGAACCCGCTAAGCGGAGATGGCGGTGTTAGCCACGCTCAGTTGATAATAGACTGTCTTATTGCCTCTCGGACTCAGTTTGAAGCTCGGGGTCAGCTGCGGATTGTCGCAGAGCTGTCATTAGAATGTGCCAAGGAAATGGCTACATTGGGTTCTTGGGAGGAGGTGGTAGCAATTTTGCAACCCGTGTGGGACAGCAGCTCATACCGAGCTGATAACTGGCTGGATATATCTGAAGACCTGTGTTGGTTATTACGCCGGGCAGCCAAAGAAATTGGGCGGGCTGATCTCGTCGTTGCCGCGGACTGGGAGCTGATGAATAAGAGTAAGTGCAGACTTATATTTCAAGGCCTCAGTCTTACTTGGGTAGGGGCTAATGTGGCTGTTATCAGAGTTTTCAAAGCGGCAACACTGGCGCTACGATCTGTCACAGTCGCTGGACGGGGTAACAATCGAAGAGAAGCCATCGATTCAGCTTTCGGATGCCTCATCATCACACCTCATTTCGTCAAGTTTCGTGTTCAGAAGCAAGGAGAACAAGGCAGGCGACCAGTGCCTAGCCCAATTTACGTTAACTTCGAACGCCATGGCAGACTCTATGCCGATATCGTTTTCTTCTGTAAAGATTTTGTTTGGAGGCAGTTTAAAACCTATTTTGCTTCGACATGGCTCAAGTGGGGAGGAGAGCTCTTTTATTACGGAAGTGGCGCTGGAAGAGCAGTTTTCAACTGATGGACCGGGCGACTTACCATCTTCACTCAGCGGAACTTGCGATTTGACAATAAAGCCCGGTGAAAAAAGGGTGTTTGAAATGGCATTTCCGTTGAGAGAGTCAGGAGAGGCCGAGGCGTCTACAGTCGTCGTTACATATGAGCATAAATCCTTTGACATTGAGTATACCATGTCGTTCAGAGACACTGATCAAGTAACTGGATGGTATATCAAGACTTCAGACAGGCCACGCCAATTGAGACCCGACGCCAGGATACTCCACATCAAGCCACGACCACCCAAGCTTCTAGTTAGCCTGCTTGAATCTTCCGGCCAATATTACACGAACGAAACGGTGGAACTTGGAGTGGAATTGCGAAATGAAGAGGAGGAGCCGGCCAATGTCAAACTAGACGTACAGTTGTACGGGAAATCAGTCCCGTCGTTTAAGCTGCAGGTTGGAGAACATGAACGAAATGGAGAAACCGGTGAAGACGAAAGTAAGGCGCTGGGAGTGCCTGTAGGTGTCATTTCTAGCGGTGCAGTGGCCGAATTAAAGCTGACTATCGATCCTACAACGGCGCCTACAACACACGATCTTCATATTCAAGCAACTTACCATCTAGAGTCGGATACTGCAACACCAATTATACAAGTCTTGTCTCTGTCTTTGGACCTCGTGGGGCCATTCGAGGCGAACTACGATTTGTTACCGAGACTGCACCCAGAGCCATGGCCCAGTCTGTTCGATTACGAGGGATTACACCTGGTCACGGAGGGCGAGACAGCGGCCCCGCCGGCAAAAGGATTTGCGCAGCAGTGGTGTCTGGTATGTCACTATGCATCGTTTGCCATGGAAGATTTGACGGTCTTGGGAATGGAACTGCAAGTTGTATCTTGCGTGGGAGGGGCTAGATGTACGGTGACGCGGCAACCTGAAGTGGCCGGCGACGGCATTACTATACCTCCAAAGACGATACACGAGGCACAGTTTGACCTCGTGGCACAAAAGTTGAGTCTCGACGATCGACACCCTGTCACTCTAGATTTGGCATTTGTTATCAAATGGAAGAGAAAGACGGCCCCGGTGGATGGCCAAGCCAATGTCACGGCCTTGCCAGTGGGACAGTACCTCGTACTGGGGACGGAACCCAGAGTGTTGGCATCGGCGCTGTACTCCAACCCTACGGCATCAACTAACATGCTTCATCTGGACATTACCATTGAGAACCCATCAAATCACTTCCTCACGTTTGGGCTCAGCATGGAACCCAGCGACATGTTTGGGTTTTCCGGTGCAAAACAGACGACAATCAACTTATTACCAATGTCTCGAAGGACAGCAAGGTACAGACTGTTGCCATTTGTTCAGGGAGACTATATCCGGCCGGGTCTTGTGGTACGCGACAAGTATTTCCAGAAGGTGCTGCGTATAATCCCCACGGAGGGCATGAAGATTGACAAAGACGGGCTGCTGGTATGGGTACCTGGGGATGGAAGCAAAGATTCGGAAAGGGGGGCAAAAGAGACCTGAAAGGCATTTTCATTGTGGTTTTATTTTACTTTTTATTTCATTTTTCATTTTGCAAAACTCAGGCTTTTGGCCCGCGGGTTAGACGGTGTTTGAATGGCGAGCAATGCCAATACCAAATATCAAGATTTATCACGCGTGGTTTCCGATCCATATACAGGGTGTCCGCGCCAAGTCGTGCGCAAGGAGGGAGGGAGAAGTACAAATTATCAGTCAAGCTCGTCATCAGACGCAGCATCGGAGATTCGCACACCGACGCTGAGCAGAACAGGCAGTGATGATACAGCGATTCGGAGTCGGTACAACATTCGGTCTTTGGTGGCAGACTGGCGTGCTTGGATTCGGGCATAACGCGTCAATTACACGTGGGTAGGCCAAGCGGGCGGCCAAGCGTCAACTTGCAGACTTCTGGTTCAATGTTCAGCCCTTCAGCCCTGTGGGTCTGACGAACTGTGTCAGGGCATTGATCTGGCTTGCTGCTGTGAGTTTATCCATCCTCAAGATCTTGACACTCCCCGCTGTGGTGAACGACTGCGATACTGTCCACCATTGGCTGCCTAGATGAATTGGGCTGTCGCAGGCTCCACATCTCGGACATCGGCAATCGCTCAAGTCCGCAGCTTATGTATTTGCTTGGGGGCATCGGAGATGCATTTCAACGACGCAAATGTCTGGATGACGTACAGCCCAGCAAGCCTCACCAGAAGCATGAGTTGGAGGCGCCCTTCCGTCAAACAATAGGCCTAGTGACGGTCGGCCTCGTCTTTCGTATGAGTGCGAATCAGGCAGCAGCTGTCATGGCACAGTGCTATAAGGCTTTGCAAGATGCGGCGGTTCAGATTTCAGATTTCATCTAGTATATATTATATACGTGTACATCCACTTGCTGAGGAAATACGGCAGAGCCCGTTCAGCTGCGCGCAGACAGTGCAAAGTCGTCATTATGGCGACTCTGACCGCCTCGACCGAACCAGGACGTCTGTCTACCGACAAGACGGAAGTTGATTCTGGAATCACCTCGCCAACTGAGAATACACGCCCGCGCGACGACCACCGCGTCACCGATGGAAAGGCCCAGCAGAGTGAGGATGGCGGTCCCGACTATCCACATGGAATTAAGCTGGTCTTGATCATTTCGGCGCTGTGTCTGGCCGTGTTTTTGGTTGCCCTCGATCAGACCATTATAGCGCCTGCTCTGGGGGCTATCACGACGCAGTTCCAGAGCGTCAAGGATATTGTATGCCGCTTGACAAGTTGCTCTTTGAATCGCGTCGGCAGATGGGAGTGCTAATGGACATGTTCCCGCCAGGGCTGGTACGGAAGTGCCTATTTGCTTACGACGACGGCGTTGCAGCCCATGTACGGTGCCGTGTATAAGTTGTTTAATGTCAAGTTGGTGTATCTCGGCGCTGTGTTTATATTTGAAGTGGGCAGCTTGTTGACTGCCGTTGCGCCCAATTCGACTGCGTTTATCGTGGGAAGAGCTATTGCGGGTGTAAGTCGTTATTCATGGCCCAGCCTAATGATGGGAAAAAGTGAAAAATTGACCCCAGAGCCTATATATAGATTGGAACTGCTGGTCTCTTCTCTGGCTCCATCGTGATCCTCTCACTCTCAAGTAAGTCGCCAGTCCAAACGCCCGCCCCCAATCGTCATGCTCATGCCTTCATCCCACTAATCGTACCTCAGTGCCTCTCCAGAAACGTCCCATCGTATTCGGACTCATAGGCGGCATGTGGGGGATCGCCTCTGTAGCAGGCCCTCTTCTCGGCGGCGCGTTCACGGAAAACGTCTCCTGGCGATGGTGTTTCTACATCAACCTCCCCATCGGAGGCATCGCCATGGTTATTGTCGCGCTCTTCGTCCACGTTAACCGCAATACATCTGACACCGAGAGCATGACCTTTATGGCGCGTCTCTTGCAGCTGGATCTGCTGGGCACCTTCGTCTTCATCCCCGCCATTGTGTGTCTTTTGCTTGCGTTGCAGTGGGGAGGGGCCGACTATCCCTGGAACGACTCCAAGGTCATCGGCCTCTTTGTCGGGTTTGCACTCATGATTGCCGTCTTTGTTGGCATCCAGTTTTGGCAGGGTGACAGGGGAACCTTGCCGCCTCGCTTCTTCAAGAATAGGAATACCCTGTGCGCTATGGTGTTTGCGTTTTTCTTTGGCGCCGGGTTCTTCCCCCTGGTTTATTACATCTGTAAGTCACACGCATTGTTTGAGTTGGGCACATGACGGGCTGACGCCGTGGTAGCTCTCTACTTTCAAGCCATCCAGGGCGTATCCGCCGTCCAAGCCGGCATCAAGATCCTCCCTCTCCTGCTTGCCACGGTCCTCTGCTCCATCATAACGGGCGGCCTCATCTCCGTCATCGGCTACTACAACTTTGTCATCATTCCCTGCATGATCCTCTACACCGTCGGCTCTGGCATGATCACCACCTTTGACGTCGACACCCCGCTCCGCCAGTGGTTCGGCTATCAGGTCATTGCTGGTCTCGGCATCGGGGCCGGCTTCCAAATCGGCGTGCTGGTCGTGCAGACGGTGCTCCCGCAGGAAATGGTTCCCGTCGGCACGGCCTGTGTGCAGTTCTTCCAGGCACTCGGCGGTGCGATCTTCGTGGCTGTTGCGCAAACACTCTTCCAGAATGGGCTCATTGACACCCTTGCCAAGGACAACATTGGTATCGACGGCAAGGTCTTTATCAACAGCGGCGCTTCCCAAATTAAGCATGTCCTGGAGGGAATGGGCCGCCTGGACGCCCTGGACCAAGTGCTCGAGGCCTACATGATTGGATTGAGGCACACGTATTACATCTCCGTGGCGTGTGCAGGCTGTGCGTTTTTGGCGGTGCTGGGTTTGGAATGGAGGTCTGTGAAGCACGGTCCTGACGGGAGGAAGAGGAAGAAGGAGAAGCAAGAGACTGCTGCATCGGCAACTGTTTAAATTTGGACTTTTCCCCCTGGGGCGGAATCATATGATTCCTATTGGCGTGTGATGTCCTAGAAGTAGTCATCTCCTCTTAGTACAGGTTGGTCTACAGAGCACACCGGCCGTTAATACAAGATACATGTAGAAAGCTTCTTTGCCACAATAAACGAGAAAAAAAGAAGAAAGAAGAAAAGAAGAAAAAGTTCAATTTCGGTATCCAAATTCATTGTGTATGGTCTGGTGGTTTATCCCAATCTACAACGCCCCTCCTCCTCTTCCTCCCCGTCCTATCCAATCCTACAAACCGCAACACCCAGTCCCTCACAACCCGGACCTTACCAACCTGCGGGCTGTCACCGCCGGCCCTCGTCAGACTCCGCGTGGAATAAGACCCGCCGCCTTCCGCCCTCCAAAGGAGGTGCAGTCTCGTCAAACCCCTTCGCAGGCTCTGTCCATACACCTTGCCCCTGAACACGTGCAGCGCCACGTTCTCCATGAGCACCACGTCTTGCCGTCGCAGCTGGACAGCGTCGCTCTCGGCCACCTTGTCCACGGGCACCCAGAACGTCACTGCGAATCCTGCGGCCGTCTCATCCCCCACGAGGACTTCTATCAGCGACAGTGCGGTGCCCCATTTCGTAGTGACTGTGCGCGGCTGGGCCACGGACAGCACGCCAACTATGAGGTTGAGCGTTATGGTCTGCGGCTGCAGGGAGGTGACTTGTTTCGCGGAGGGCACATCCTCCAGGTCAGATAGGTGCGAGGGCACGGGCACGGGCGGCGCGGGCTGGCCGTCTTCTGAGAGCAGCGAGGTTGTCATGAAGGAGGCGCTTTCAGTCGTGTCGAAGCTGTCGAGGTCCGGGGCGGCGCTGGAGTTGTGCGCCGCGAGGGATTGCTCACAGAACTGCGCGAGAACGTCTTGGGTTCCGTCGTGGTCTGGCGCTGTGGCGAACCCGTGGGTTGTGGTGGTGTCGGCGGTTGTGAAGAAGCTTGGGCTGCTTGGAGCATCACGCTGCAGGTGGTGGGCTTGGGTGAAGCCGGTGTGGAGGGGCTGCCGGGCCAGAGGTAGCGATCGCCATGCTGTGTATTGTGTTTGGGGAGGGAGGCTGTGCGATGAGGCGGCCGGGAGCCCGAGGAGGTCTTGGAAGGGCTTCTCGAAGTTGTGTATTGAGCATGAGGATTCGGTGAGGGCTGCTGATGGCGGCGGTCCTGTGAGGAGGAGGAGTTTGGGGGGTGGCATTGTTCAGGTACAGTGCGACGTCATGGTGGTGTCATTTCGCGAGGAGAGGTGAGCCGGTGGCGAGGGTACCGGGAATTATTAGAGATTACGAGAGTTAGGGACAGATTTGCGTTGTGAGGATGGAAACTGGTCAGAGTCTGATGTTGGATGGGAAGCTTCGATGTCTGGGCTGCGTTGTGGGTCACGACTCACGACTCACGACTCACGACAACCATGGATACGCAGCACCGTTGGAAAAAAAAAGAAATAAAATGAATAAAATACAAGCCGCATACGATACTTGTACCAAGCAAATTGTGAGAAATACGATTCTGGCGCTGCTGGTCGAAATAAAGCAGGGTTTTAGTATGGGGTGAGGTATAATGTGTCTCGGCCAGTAGGCATGTTGTTGAAAGCATCATCGTGATGGAAGATCAAAGCCAAATAAGTCTTTGGCTTCACAAAGAAGCACGCCTGTTTGATTTTCACAGTTCCAGTTTGCAAATCGGTCGAGCATGGCTTACATGACCTGACCGACGCTCTCGCGTAAGATGCGCCATGAATGAGACAGATGGAGGTTGGAGCCGCTTCTCGAAACCAGCCGTTCGGGTCAATGAAGACAGGGAGCGGGATACTCCTTCCGTACCTGGACCACGGCGAGCGGGGTGCTGGGGGACTTACAGAGTAAGTATCTGCAATTGGCACAAGCACACAGGAAGGTACCTATATACTATGTACCCGCTTACGGGTAACGGCAATAGCTCCACCGTGGCTCCCATGTACTTCAACCTCGGCTGAAGCTGATGATCAATTAGATCAAGTTACGACACCTATATATAAATCATCATGACCTCCACGCATCAGTCACGCTTGCACTACCAACAACCCCCCAATCATCCTGTGCAATTACGAGCTTGCCAAGCACGCACATATTCTTGCACGCCACCTGAACACGTCTCTTTGTGTCCGTGGCACTTGATGCCACTTACAGACCGAGAACCGTTTGCCAAGGCCCCAAACACAACATGGCCGCAGCGTTGTTCAACGTCAAGGAGCACATCATCGACGCCTCTCACATCCGAGAGTTCGCCTATGCCACGGCCAATTCACAAGATACCGCGCTAAAACTACACGTCAAGCAATATACTCCCAAAGACAATCCATCACCCCAGAGAGGTGACGTAACCTTGATTGGCGCCCATGCAAACGGCTTCCCTAAGGTACGCAGTAGAGCTATCATCTCCATATATTAATAGCCAGCCATCATCACACAGGGCTGACTACTGCGTCAGGAACTTTATGAACCATTCTTCAATGACCTTTACCAAGAGCTCAACAAGTGTGGCGTGCGTATCCGCAATGTCTGGTTTGCCGACTGTGCTTGGCAGGGCCAAAGTGGTATCCTCAACCAGGAACGAGGTCTCTTGGGCAATGATCGTGAGTATCTTTTGCCCGACATGGCATAGCTGCCCCAAAATACTCCGACTGATAATGCCATGTGCCATCCAGCTTCTTGGTATGATTACTCTCGAGACATCCTACACATGATCAACACGTTCCGTATGCCGCGTCCTCTGGTCGCCGTTGGGCATTCGTTTGGCGCAAACGTCCTCAGCTATACCGCCCTGCTGCATCCGCGTCTGTTCCACAGCATGGTGCTCCTGGATCCTGCTATTGCTTACTATCACACAAGCCGCCCCATGGATTTCAGAGCAAGTCCTGCCGCCGCGAGCGTTGGGAGGCGTGACCGGTGGCCGTCGCGGGAGGCTGCCGCCGCCTTGTTCAAGAAGGCTCCGTTTTACCAAGCCTGGGACCCGCGCGTCTTGGAGCAATGGATCAAGTACGGGCTGCACAATACCACCCCAGATCCAAACGGGGACGTGGTGCTGGCAACCACCAAGCACCAGGAAGTCTTTACCTTTCTACGTCCTAGCTGGCCCGCGTTTGATGCCGAGGGCAAAAACGCCATTGACCCCAAATGGATGCCTGACGCCGGGACCGCCATCAAGGTTGAATACCCCATGTATCCTTTCTACCGGCCAGAGGCGATAAACACCTTCATCCGCATGCCTAGTCTGCGCCCTGGCATCGTCTTCATCTTGGGCGGGCAGAGCAACGTCGTTAGCGATGCCGACGTTAAAACGAGAACGGAGACCACAGGCACTGGCTTGGGAGGCAGCGGTGGCGTCGCCTCCGGTCGGGTCAAGGAGGTTGTGCATGAGAAGTACGGGCATCTTATCCCTATGGAAGTTCCCCGTTTCTGTGCCCAGCATGCCGCGGATTTCCTTAAAAAGGAGTTGGATATCTGGGCCGTAGAGGAGGCAGAATATGAAGAATGGGCAAAAAAGTCAAATGCCGACAAAGTAACCATCTCTCAGGAGTTCAAGAAACACCTCGGCGTCACAGACAAGCCAAGGGCCAAGATGTAGGCAGCCTGCTTGGGCATCGACTTGTACTTGTAGACGTCTCGTTAATCATAGACTAGAACGAAGCTAAAGACTATCATATTAGATCAATGGAAGATACGATGGAAATTGTAAAAAAAAAAAAAAAAAAAGTCAATTTTTCTTCTCGTAATCATTCAAACTCAAGGCCCTCGCTTCCAATGCAAACCAGCATTTTCGATCCCGCCCAAATCTCATTCCTGAAATAAGCCGTCTTGCATTTTCTCCACGTTACCCAATGCATGCATGCTGTCATGTCTGCAAATTTCCAGTTCAATCAGATATAATACATAGTATCCCTCAACGACTTATGGACCTGCCTAATACTCCCCGCACCCGATGACTCTGACGACGTAGAGGTCGAGACACTTTCAACGTCGCTGACGTCGTATTCCGGACGATGAGCACGAGCACGCTCGCACACTATATCCGCGTAGTAGGCTGGCGGGCAAATGCTCACAGCCTTGGTGGCTCGCCCGTACAAGTAGCAGAGCTCGTGAGTCAGGCGCTCCAGCTCGTTGGCCGCCCGTTCGCCGTACTTGTACCTGAATACCTCGTCCAGCAGTACAGTATAGTGTGCTGGCCGAGCCGTTCCCTGCAAGGCCTCGTGTGCGGTCAGGAAAAAGTCCCAGTACGGAGCGAGTGTAATGCCGCGATCGACAACAGTGCCGTTCTTGACGTTACCGGAGCGGGACATGTCTTCCGTGTTGGTTGGGTAGAACCTCGTTTGATGCCGCTTGACGGAGACGATGATTGATATCTTTGGCTGCTTGCCAGATTGGTATGTCTGGCGGCAAGCGTCTCTGATCATGGGCAATTCCTGGTCAATGACCTGTGCGAATTGGCCTTCTGAAACACCATCGCGGAAAATAACGATATTTTCAGGAAGTGTCTTGTTATTATGGGCTCGCCACAGGCTCAAGCGGGACTTGAATGCATCAGTAAGGGTGCTACCAAGCATTTCTTGCTTGGACTTTTGCTCCCATGCCATAGCGGGCCATTGGCCAAGATCTTGGTCGACAGAAGCGACGAGACCAACGAGACTAGGGGGTTCGTTGCCCTTTACGACATTCATATTTGTCGGGTGAGTGACATCGTAACCAACTAGCATTGTCTTCCCCTCCTTTAGAAGCCCAAAGTCATTGGTAAGCTTGTGATTGACACCACCAGACTTGAGATTGATCTTGAGGCCAACGTTGCTATAGTAGGAAAAGTTCTTCTCCTTGAATAAGTGTTTGGCAACGAGGCAACTTGTGTGAATGCCGTGTACACAGTCTCCCAGGCGCTTGATCTTAGTATAGAGCCCACCACTGTCTTTCTGGCCCAGGATAAACATGATGTACTGGATTTTGTTGTCCTCAGCCCATTTGAAAAAGTTTACCAAGCCTGGGCCATACAGGGCTCCATCCTTGGTCATGAAATGCTTGGGCAGCCGAACAGGTGACTTGGCGATGTTCATGCCCAGGTCATTAGCCATGAACTTGGCAAAGTCTTCCATGGTCTCAAGACCGACTTGCCTATCAGTGTCTCGGGAGAGTAAATTCATATATGTCCATCGAGAAATCATGTCGCCCTTCTTAACGACCTTGACGGCCCTCATGTTCCAAGATCCGTTGAAAGGGTTGACAGAAATCTTTTTCTTAGTAGCATCAATGTAAGCCACGGCCGGAACGTTGAGGACTCGTCCGTTGACAGTAGCAAGATTCTTGTCAACAGTAACACCAAACTTCTGAAGAGTCTCATTGCCGTCGTACTCGAGGACGTTTCGGGCGTCGCTAGATATAGACAGCGCGTTTTCATATGGGGTGCGACACGCAAAGGCAAGCATGGCGGTCGTTTCTTCGCCAGTAAGCTTTGCTCTAACACTCTGACCAGGCTGGATCTCAATTACTTCGGCCGGGAAAAATGACGGCCGTTTAGGAGTACCGAGATTCAGAACAGGGAAGTCCTGGAGTGTCATGCCATATTCTAGAGAAAAATGTTAGTTTAGTCAACCCATCAGCAGTTACGAGGCAATCTGGAAGAATAGCTTACTCTTCTTATAGTAATCGTGAACAGAAATGAAACGGCTTTCTTCTTCAAGCCAGAACCTGACATTCTTAGGCCCCGGATACTCATAATCCATGTTGATTGTTGGACGGTTGGGCCCCTCAGCAGTTGACGCTGTTATCTTGGTCACCAGGCCTTGAAGAGCTTTGCTCCTGCGGACTTTGGTTCCATCGGCAACGGTGAAAGTCACCCAAACTCTGGCTTTGGGCAAAAACTTGGCAAAGGCACCAACAAGCCTCTTCAATCTGTGATCATCACGAGCCACCTGCTGAATAGCGAGGGACTTCATGAGTTGGTCCATTTTGCCGGCAACTCGAAAAACACCATGAGTGACGTTGGTGTTCAGAAGAAGGCGGCCAGTAGCCAGTCGAGCTGATTGAAAGAACCCACGCGCAGCAATCAACGTGTGATAGTCCTGTGCGAGACTGGCGGTGGTTGAGTCCTTATTGAACGGGAAAAAACGTGACCCGCCAATAGCTGTGATTTCACCTAGTTTCGAACGAGCGTTGTGACCGAGAATCATATTCA